ATCATTTCTGAAGATAAAACATACGCAATATTATCAACACCACTCGAAAAATCTGAGAATGATGATCGGGAATACCGGTTAATTGTATTGCCTAACAATTTAGAAGCTTTGCTAATTTCTGACAGTGAAACTGATAAAAGTAGTGCCGCAATAGGTGTTCATGTTGGCCAGATTAATGATCCGGTAAGTTTTTTTTTTTTATCAAATTGTAAATTTTATGATGATTTCAATTCTTAACTTGTACGGTGAATTGTAGTCGAATCTTCAAGGTCTTGCCCATTTTTGCGAACATTTGTTGTTTATGGTGAGTTTTTCTTAATCATATACGATTTTGCATCGATAATGTTTAAATCATGTTGTAATAAATAACTTTTATGATTTTTAGGGAACTGAAAAGGTATTTATTTATCATGAAAATTTACTTCCGAATTAGCTTTATAATGGTATCCTGAGCAATGGACATCGGTGGAAACTTCGTTTCCATTAGTACACATATGCTCCATGGTTGATCTTGATACAATTCTCAAGATCACTATTCATTGATTTAACGCTTTATCAAATAAAACATATCTGAGTTCCATTTTATCTATTTATTTATTTTAGTATCCCAAAGAAAATGAATATAGCGAGGTAATTCATAATAAATTTCCTCCACAATTTGTAGATTTTATATGTTTAACACATACATTAGTAAAAACCGATTGGACTATTTCAAAATTTCAACTATAGTATCTAACAAAACATAATGGATCAAGCAATGCATACACTAGCATTGATCATACGAACTATTATTTCGATGTTGGGCATGAACATTTGGAAGGGGCTTTAGATTTGTAATAACAATTTTTATAATTGAATATATGGAGCTTGTCAATAGAGAAGGGAGAAATTTCTTCTATGTAAAGTTTTTTTAAACTTTAAATTAAAATATCTCAACAACTATTAATAATTTTTTTTCTATTTTAATTCTCTATAGTTATAAAATTAAAAATAAAAAAAATTATTTATAGTTGTTGAGATATTTTAATTTAAATTTTAAAAAAAAGTTACTAAAAACTTTTTGCCCCTTTCCTATTGACAAGCTCCCATATCTAGTATTATTTATACAATTGACACT